TATATATATTATATATAGATATATATATATATATACTATATATATGTATGTAATTCAAAAGCTCATAATGTAAAATGTTTTAAACGATATGTATATAGAATCAAGAAAACACTTTCGTAAGACGTTCTCGCTTTCGCTTCATCAGTAATAACTTTACAAAATCAGAGGAGCCGTACTCTATCAACCTAAATTAACAAATAGAACAACTACAATACAATAGAAACCTAAGGGGCACCTGCCTCAATAACAATACATATTGTCAAATGTGTTAGAATACAACTGTTATGGGGAAACTGGAGAAAGTGAAAAGAAAGGTAGAAGAAAGAATGTGATGGAGATGCTGGTGTTGGCTGTCTCACAAGAGATAGATGGAAAGCCATAAAAGCAAAAAACAAAAATAACGAGAAAGATAAGCTATAAACAAAAGAGCCGACATTAAAAATTAAAAAATATAAAACAAAAAACTTTTAAAAAATTTAAAAACTGTAGAAGAATATATAAATGTCCATGTATCTACCTGCCTAGTATTGAGGACCATCGGAGAGAAAATATTCAAGACGATATTGCCAAAAAACTTTTCTCTCCCTTCCCTATCATTACCTGTTAACCTATCTAGACCTTAACACCTTATGTCATCAGAAACCCTGATGTCCTTCCTCAGAAAAATGTCTGAAAAATTCCATCTGGGGCACTGAAGACCCTTAAATTAAAACTTACGACTACACGCCTTGTAATTATTAAACCTAAGACTAAAAGGCGTGCAGTGCTACCTACCATACTGGACTCCAAGACATTGCACTCAATTAAGTACACAACATTGGACGAGTCACAGTTAAGACGAATAGTTATATCTTATATTCCCTTTTACCTGTAGTGTTAGACTTAAAATCGTTCGCTTGTTAGACGATGCACGTTACACACTATGACATCTGGACGTTCTTACAACCACGAAACATCCCCTGTTATTATGTCCCTTTCCCTCCCACTTAGTGCCATTAGCCCTCACCCAAAATATCCTTAAATATCTGTACACTCCTCAAAAGCAACTACTGGTGTGGCACCATGAGCACCTCCTTGTCTCTCTGAACCACGTGAGCAATGGTATGTGTCTTTCCTGGCCAATGTTCCCCACAAACCATTACCAGTCGCCGCGCTATGGGTTATGTAGTACACGAGTGGAAACCCTGTCACCTCCCTTCGGTTGGTCTTTCGCCTAACTTCCCGCTTTTTCCAAGAGCAGGTCTTCCCCTATCTGACCTCACAGTACCCTAATCTTATTATGTTGATTAACAAGGGCTCTTCATTACCCCTATCTTAATCGCCATCCAGCGAGTCGATTACACTACATTTCTCAGAACACTGGCGACTCATCTGCTGCGCAAAACCTACGATACCGCTAAGGAGCCTTCACCTACATTAGGGAATCGCTTCTTTGTATGCCAAGAGGTGACCAAAGACTTTCTTATTGTAAGAAACTGATGAGGTATCAGTTGGCCACCTTACAAAAACTAAGTCTGTACATAAGGACTCCCCCCCTCCTCCCTACTTTTACCGTGGACCATCTAAGGAACGGGTAATTAGATTCTGTCCTAGAATTGCTGTCCCCACTCGGGGTACCATAAACTTTCAATCAGTCCTGTCGTGGCTCTTACTGTTAGGTAAGATGTCAATAGCTAACTAAACTTCCCAGCGATACCTAGTGCTCGCCCGTGTGTAGATAAGAAAAATATCATCGATAAATGCTCCTCCAGAACCAGGGGTTCGTCGGCGGAAGGCGGTATCCATCAACCTCTTCCCTCCTTAACCCTAAGTCATACAAAAAGATTGGCATGGCCGATGGACGAACTTCGTCGCCGTAATAAGTCCGTACCTAACTTCTGCTGTACTAAAACTTACCATTAAATTCAAACATAGTCTATCTGCTTGCAATACTATAAGGAAGCGAAGCTAATCAGGCTACATGTGCTCAAGATACAACGCTGCTGGCATTTTCCCGTCTATCCAGCGCCTCCCTTACGGCCTCAAAACCTCCTCGTGTGGACTCTAGGATAGAGTCCCACAACATTCAACACGTGCATTAAAACATGCCCCTATCTGTATGTTCCGTATATTTCCTTATCCTAGATAAAAAATGGTTAGTACACATAAGCACTACTTTGGCTTAACCAACTGGGTGAGGTCGGTAGTCTAGTATCTGATACATTTCGGTTAATGTACCTACATTGAATGATGACGCCCCCTTACATTACTAAGCCCTATGATCTTAGGACAAATAACTACCTAACCTAGATTGTATCTCTCTTTTTATATATATATAATAAAATAGAATATATACTAGAAATGAGACATGTTCTCCGTTACTCCGAGTTTCGTGCTTACGCACTCATCAGACAGACTATAATGAAGAATATTCCTGTTACCGCGGTATAAATATGATAGATATATATATATATATATATATGGATGCCCATCGAGCTGAGCAAAATCCCCCCTTCATGTACTCATTCTTCGTATCGTACATAAAAACATGGTATTTGTGACGTCACACGCACTGGGTCACATGAAATGCCGACAATGGTCGAACACTCGACGATAATTTCATGACATTTAGAGCGGAATTGCGTCAAAACGGACAATAATAATTAACCGAAAACTTGAAATTAAGATCCCATGCATCGTTTTCTACATTATATCAAAAAATAGTTTTGCGTGTCAGTTCACCTTTAAAAGATTTCTTACATGTTTATATTTTCCATCATCCAGGGCCTAAAATAAGAAATTTTTACAGATCCACATTTTTTAAAAAAATGGGGCGTGGTACTTGGCTGGGATTGGCACTGCTGGGGTGGCAAATATAGAAACTGCCATCATAGGGCAAATTCTTAAATGAATGAAGTATAAGTAGCAAAAGCTGATTCTTTACATTATATGGATTGGGTTAATAAGAAGATTAGCTACATATAGCGATGTCTTAATATGTGAGCAAAAAGTTATCGAAAAGAAACTCTTTTACATTGTTTTTTTCGGATCTCTGTCAAAGTTTTTGCTCACATATTGCTCACATAATCTCTGCATACACAAAGATTCTTTTCCTTTCATCTTCAAAAACTCCCTTAAATCAGCCTTGCTTCCCAGACTTTGGTATTTTTTGGTTTTTTGGAACCATATCTTTGCAGCTTTTCTCGGAACTCGAAACTTGCATGATCGACGAAATGAAAAATTGATTCTGCCGAGAACTGGGGGGAGACGTGTCCCCCCAGTCCCCCCATGGCGCCGCTACAGGAATCAGCCTCTCTGCATCGATAGAATTAGGGATTGCTGCGATGTCCGGAACAAAAGCTTGGTACAGTCTTTTTTACTTATGGAAAGTTCTTAACTGCATTCAGCCCATCAAATTCTTTGTCATCAAATCTGTTCTTCAAAAAGTTTTGATACTATAAACGAAAATCTCGTTACAGATGGCAAATAAACTCTTCTCTCACTGATGTACAAATTGTGCTTGTTTCTTCTTATTCTCTTTTCGCCCAGTTTGAAAGCATGATGTTTGTAATACAGAAACCACGCACCAGATCTCAATTTTGGAATTACGCCAAATTTTTCATAAAATTGTGCTAGATTTCAAATCAAGGCAACCCTGCTCGAAAAAGAGGCTAATGCATGCTCAGAATATCAAAAGTGGCCAGAGTTGCAATTTGGCCTTTTTGACAACCCAGTGTACTCATTCTTCATAAAAAAATAGGCAATTTAGATCCATGGTTTGATGGCTAAATTTCTCCATTTTGGCAGTTTCTCAAAACCCCTTGGCCGTCATAAATTGATTTGGCCGAAGAAGCAAAATTTGGCTGAATTCTGGCAGCATGTTGCAAAAAACAACGAAAATGCAAAGAAAACAAAAATTGTTCACAGATAATATTCAAAATAATTTCAAAATTGCAACTGATGAATGATGAAACAAAGCAAAAGATAACAGACAGTTTTAGATCAAAGCAAGCGAAAACTTTTGTAACATACAAAGCAAATTTTAATTACAGTATCACTCCCAATAATTAGCAAAAATTTAGCTTTTTTGTATACTGCGTTTAGTTGGCTGCATTTGGCTGCCAACCACAAATATGTGGCTGCCAACCATTCAAAACAGTTGGCAATAACCTGAAGGTAGAAAGTCAAAATTTACTCCCAAAATGAAACCACAGATGCTGGTGTAAAGTGTTTGCATTTGGTAACGATAGACAATGGATCAATGGAAACAATTATGCCAGAGTTAGGCTGGATTCCAAATTATGCTAGATTTTATGCTAAATGGCGATTTTCGGCCAATATCATGTTAATATTACGCTAGATCAGGTCACACTGGCACCAGCCCACAAGGGAGCGGCTGGAACGGGACTAGCAGGCTTGCCCCTAAATTTTTTTAATGGCCACACCCTTTGAAACACCGGAAACCACTCCTTTCAGAAAATATTTGCTTTTTTCTGTCCTTGTCATCTTGAACGATTTAAAGAAGATTTCAATTAACAAAACCGAGTTAGATGAAATAAAAATTTATCTTTGATCAAACAAGATAAAGCATCATCAAAAAGAACAAAAACGTGTTCCTAGAAGAACTGCTACTAATGCGTTCGTCAGCGTAAACTTTCAAAACATTTTCTAACTTATTATTGCAAAAAAGTTGAGGAGGACTATAGTCCCTGTTATGCAACATTCCCAATTGGATGTTTCTTCCAGCTACCACCGAGAGGCTTGTCATCGTTCAGCTACTGTAGCCTTGAGAGGAATCTTTCCAATGCTTCTCCAATTTGAAACACCTTAGTTGAAATGGTTTATAGCTTTTTTTGAAATCTACTGAAAGATATCACATAAAAACCCCAAAATACATTACGGGCAGGAAATCATTATCTCGGTCTTGGTCTTAAGGCTCAGTGTCTTTTTTGAAGCAAATTGAAAAAGCAAACTTAATTGAGATGATGTCTTGAAGTTAAAGCTGTATACGGAGTCTATCTTACTTCAAAATAGCACAAAAAATATCATAAAGCGCAATTGATTTTTCTCCGCATGCACTGAAGCTTCAAGCTCTGAAGTTTCTTAATTCTTCTTTATTATCCATTGGTTATTTCTTATCGCAATTTTCTTATAAAAATGAGTGCAATACATGAGGCTGGGATTGGGCATACATTTTCAGGAATTTTCAGGAAGAGGCCTCCCCAACATCATCCGAGGCAACAAAAATTAAGGTTTCAGAAAATATCTTCAGAAAAAATATTTTCCTTTTAAGGAAGCCAACAGCGCTCAAATTTTCATAGGCATGTGATTTTTGGTTTTTCAGTTATTTGATTATTTGAACCTGTTCTTGCCTGTCCTACTCATCTATTTTTAAAAAAGTAAGATGAAATATAAATCTTCAAAAAGGCTTGAAAAAGTTCAAAACTGTCGGTGTTAACAGAAGACGGCAGAGTTTCTCTATGTGAACTTTTTTCCACCGCCTCCACAAGCAGCTCATGGTTCATTATTGCGATCGTCACCTGACAGTGAAGGCAGACTTAGTGTTAAGGGGTAATGTTCCATTTCACATGTTTCTTTGGTCATTCAAATGATAGTATCAGTGTCTCGCCATCAACTTGTTCGGCCTTGTTCCATCTAAGATCTGTAAATTCTTGGTCTGTTTCGCGTTCCTTGTCATCTAGAGTCCATCGAGCAGCCTAACAATAATAACCTTGGCATCACCAGAAACGTAGATTCTGAATGGGGCTCCTGCAATACAAAGCAATACAAACTATATTCTACAGGGTATTAACTGCTACCAATGACTGACATTTTCCGACAAGGCGTCTATCATCTAACAAACATTTGTAATGTTTCTCGTTTATTTACCTAACATAATATGATTAGAACTGAAATAAAACAGGATATAAAGTCTAATTATTTAATGAAAGTCATTTGTCATAAATCATATTAGTTGAAGATTTCATGGTTTTCTCCTCTAAAAAGGCATTGGTTAAGTACAATTCCTTATTAAAAGAGATTGTCCACCTGATTCACAACAACTGAAGAAACAATTATATGAATCTTAAAGCATTTCATCTCCAAATGTAACTGTTAGAAAAAATTAGACCACATGTTATAATTCCATCAAGATAAGCAATTATCCGACAAATTAGCTTTCCAGGGTTTTTTTTGCCCCCAACCCCTCTATTCACGCCACTAGTATTACTGCATTTGGAATACTTATTTTGGGATTTAAAGACTTAAAATTGGCTTTGAAAAGAACAAACATTTGAGTATTCTAAAGCTTTCGTCTGACACTTTCCAGAGTATAAAACGTCAGAACATAGATACGTCAAGACATGTTCCTTCTAGTATTAGAAATAAAACTAGTCCCCAAGAAGAACAACTACAGCCGTTTTGAAAAACTTTTGGCTAATCAAATGTTAACTTTTGTGAGCAAGTTCCTCTCACCTAAAATTTGTGGCAATCGACAGGGGTACAATACCCAGCATGCTCTGCTAAAATTGATGGAGATTTGTAAGAAGAGCTTAGACAACAAAGGCTTTGTCGGAGCAGTCTTAATGGACTTATCCATTGTTTTGATTGTCTCAACCACGAACATTTGCTTCCTAAATTGAATGCAAACGGCTTTAGTACAAATGCCATACAAATGGTGCATAGCTATCTAACGTAGAAGGTAGAAGGCAAGGAGTCAAAGTAAATGGCTCATTCAGCTCTTGGAAAGAAATGAAATAAGGCGTCCATCATGGATCAGTTCTAGGGCCTCTTTTGTTTAATATATTTGTCGATGATATTTTCTTTTTGTTGAATGGGACTGAAATCTGTAATTATGCAGATGATACGAAAATTTACTGTTCTCATCAAGAGTTACAGGAGGTTACTTTAAAGCTAGAAACTAAGCAATTGGTTTGCAGAAAATTTTATGAAATTGAATGAAGAAAAATGCCACCTCCTAGTATTTGGTAAAAAAGACACAGAAATCTCAATCAATGTTGGCCCCTCTGTGATTAAAGAGAGCAAAGAAGAAAAATTGTTAGGCGTTTAAATTGACCAAAAGCTCAATTTTAAACAACATTTAAACACGGTTTGCACGGGCCTCACTGTATATGCCCAAAGAAAAAACTATAATGGTCATGAGAGCCGTTATAATGTCTCAGTTTAGCTACTGTCCGTTGATATGGATGTTTCATGAGAGACGTGTTAACGCAAAAATCAACCACATTCACAAATGAGCACTACGAATATCAAAATTGGACCTTCAGTTTTCAAGAACTGTTAATTACAGATAATTCAGTCTCCATTCATCAACGAAATCTGCAGTTGCTTGTCGCCAAAATCTACCGAACAATGATGAATCTGAATCCTCCTTTTATGAAAGAAATGTTCGTGCATAGAGATATGTATTATAACTTACGAGTTACGAGTTGCGAGTTACGACAAAGAGTTACGATCAACATATAATATATGCACGTAAAACTAGGACTACAGCCTATGGATTAGAAAATATATGCTTCCTAGGACAAAATCTTTGGAGAGACTTACCACTGCATATAAAGGAGTCCTTATGCGTAAGACATTATCCAAAAAGGATATTAAGTTTTGGAATTTTACATGCAACTATAAATTATGTAAGAGTTATATTGTACATTTAGGTTATATTTAAATATTAATTCGTTTTAGTTATTCATGCTTTTGTTTTTAATTACAGGGCCGAAACTGCTGGGGGAGGGTATGGGGGTGCTGCACTCCCCCCAATCTTCAAAAAAGCAGATTTTCTCGGGCAAATTTATGGCTACCAGTATATTGGTTGGGCAAATCTGGAAATTTTGTTTAGATCGCACATTTATTGCCACTCCTTGCCCCAGCTTGGCTTTTGAAGTAATGGTCTTTTTATCTGCTCTTTTTTCAATCTCCGCCCAGCTGGGAAAACAAAACAGATACGAGGCAAGCAGCAGCAACATAATTACATTTCTGTCTTTCGTTTCGAGCTCGACGTACATGTTTATCTTCGCCTCGAGATGCAGAAGTAGAGTCTGGAGTATTGATCGACAGTGAAAGTATAGACAGAGAGAAACGTGTGTTTGATGCAAGAAGGAAATAAACACAGTGCATGCCCCCCCCCCCACTGTTAAATTGTTATGACTGCTGAATTTTCCCTTCCCCCCCCTACTTTCCAACCTGCGTCGGAGCCCATGGAACACTGACCCTCTTTGAAGCATAATAAATCAAAGAATGAAGGATATGTCATCTCGGAAGACGTCGTTGAGAAAAATCAAGCAACATTTTCTTTTTCAAATGTATGAAACCTTCATCATACAGTCATGAGGAGTTATGCCCCAAAATTCTCTTAAGGTTTCACACTCATGGTCCGAAAGTATATTGCACCCTTCGCCAAAGGCCGTTCTGTTAACTAAAGAAAATTTAAACAGCTGTTCCAAGTAACAAAAAGGTTTAAGCTGAAAGTTTTAACGGGAAATAATAGAACATTCATCAGGGAATTGTAGTTAAGATAAGAATTGCAAAAAAATTCGAGTTTCTTCTTTTTCTAAACAATATTGTTATACTTGAGGTTGAACGACAGTGTTGAGTATAACATGAAATTGTGTGAGTTCTTACTACTTTAACAAATACACAATAAAATTCAGGGCTTTAACTTACGACCTTGCTTCTGAATCTTTACTTTAGCGGCGGCAGAAGAACGTCAGAGAGAGAGAAACGGCGACTGGTCTTTATCTTTATCTTCATCAGCGTCAAACTAGCGTCTAAATTACAACTTCTCTAAATCTCTAAACTAAAAGCTCAAATTTATATAAGATTAAACAATAGATGGTGCAATAAATCTAAACATCCAATAAAAGTTCCAGCAAAGCAAACGTCAAAAAGGAAAAGAGGTTCTTGTTATTATTTGTCCAATCATAAGGTTTTTCTTTGAGTTGCACTTCGTGGTGCAATCCCTGACGGCCAAAATATACCATGACGTAACTTGTTTTGAGTTGCATGTCGTGGTGCAATCTCTTGTAATCTCGTCGTCCAATGACGTAATGTTAACTATACAACAATATCCATAAATACGAAAACACGAAAATTGAGCTTTGATGATAGGTCTACCTGTGAAATATTTCCAATAAAGAAGGTTTTCTTTGCATAAGCTTGAGGGATTTTGTTATGGTGAATTCAGCGATACTTGCTTCGTGCTTGTGTGTCTAAAAATGTTTAATTCCCTTACGGAGCAACCGAAAGCTGAAAATCAAACTCAGAAAATAAAACTGGTGCTCTTTTATGGGATTACTATTTTTGTTGAAACATTGTAGTCTGTTTCTAAATTCCAAAATTTTCAAGCTGTGTTTTGTTGTTCCACTGTAATCAAATTGAGACTCTTCTTAAATCTCTTTTTTAAATTACTTTCTTTATAGCTAAGAGATTTAGAAAGTGAAGACTATTTTTCTTTTATTGAAAAGACAGGTCTTACAAATGCTTGTTTTTCGGAAACAAATGCTTATAGCCAACACCAGAAAAGCTAGAGGGCATATTTTTTGGCTTTGAAAAACAGCCTGAGTCTGAAGGTCTAACATACTTAGTGACCCTTTCTCGTGGTCCCCGATGATTTCAACCCTTGAAGCGATGTGCCCTAAAAATGATGTTTAGGCATGACACGCTCTTCCATTAAGCATGACACGCCCTTTCGTCGGGCATCGAAGCTTAATACCCCCCCCCCTCCTAATGAAAATAGTGAAGTTTCGCCCCTGACTAAGTATGGTTGGCATTAATTAGCCTTGTGCTATCAGCTACGCCAACCTTAAACAAATAATTCATTTATTATTTATCTACGTCGGTCTTGCAGACCAAAAACAAGTAGTAAAACGTGCGATTCTGCAATCGGGCAGCATTTACTGGAAAGCCCAGATTATAGAAAAACTATAATGGCGACATGCTTCGGATTATTGGTACAGCCCTATCTGTCGGGGAATCCCCATCGCGCTTTCTTCGGTATTCTAGTAAATTTTTAACCTATTATTTTTAAATCAACACGTTTATTTTTTATTGTGTATGCTTGTGTTACATAACTACGGAACTATGCAATTTACGTAAAAGTCCCACTTTGAGGCCGAGACAGCAGATTAAGGATCTAGCCAGAATTTTCTGGAAGCAAGCTATTGTAATAGGATTAACTACGTCAATCGTATTCTTGATTTTTATTGGCTTGGTTGGGTAGTAGTTAAAATTGATTGTGATTGGCTAAGATAAATTTTAGTTCCTTGTTTGCTTTTATAAAAGCTGGTAATTGAATCGAGCACTAAGGATTCGTAGAGAGAGATTTCTCACGATGTACGTTGAGTTGTGTTGAGCAGAAAATTCGGAAAACATAAAGATTGTCTTTCTCTAAGAATTTACTCTAATCATTTATTGAGCCTGCGTTAACAAGCAGAGATATTCTCTACAATCTCCTCAGTATCCAGATACACTATCATGTGATGCTACAACTCTAGGTTTTCGTCGTGAATACGAAACACAAATAATTGTTCCAACAATGGCCACAGAAGACACTTACTTGTCAGGTAGATAAGTATTTTAGTATTTTCATACATGTAGTATCCATCCAGACGGCCCAGCGGCGGATCCAGGGGGGTGCAAAGGGTGCTTGAGCACAGGTCAGATTTTCAAAGTAGTGTTTCTTGTACCTGTTCCTGTGCATGTTTCCAAAAAAACCTGAAGATTTCTACTGATTCGATGTTTTCGTCTATTTTGCATGAAAAATATCCTTTTATCCAAAGAATTTTCTTTTGTTGGGTTAATGTTTACAATCTTGGCATATTCACCGGAACAAAATTCTGGTAGAATGCAAGTGCTGACCAATTAGATTGCGGATGACAAAATCCTCTTCCAATGAAATTCAATTATTCCATGCTATTCCGAAAACCGGTGGGTTCGTAAATTAGAATTGTCACGAACGGAGCTAGCCAATCAACTCTTTTCTCACCGGTGCTCAGATCCAGCATTATCCAATCATTTGCTTTTTCACCGGTGCTCAACGTCATCTGAGCACCAGTCAAGACGAAATAACCAGGGGTGTAGTGCTAGGGGGGCTCAGGGGGGCTGAGGCCGAAATGTTAGTGCCAAAAAATGGCAAACTTCTACTTTTGCTATTGTTTTTCGCAACAGTTTCTGCAAGAGCCCCCTTTGTTATTTAGCTAGCACTACACCACTGGAAATATTCAATAAAAATTCAGGGAAATTGATGGATAGGGAACTGGCATAGGCTTTTTGGATTTGCGGCAACTCTCGTTGGTATTACGGGGTGCATGAACAGAAACGTTGCTTTAATTTTTATGGCAAAAGAAAAGCCTGGTCAAAGAAATGATAGAGAATGAGTTGGGGATGTTTTCGAGTTTTACTGGGACGACAATAGGGCTGACTCGTTCACTGATTCACAGCTCTTTTCCGGAAGTGTAGCAAAGCTAAGGCCTAAGATACCTATCTATCAGGTAAGTGGTAACATACAATCTTTGTGGAAAATTGCAAGACATCAGAAAATATTATATGCATCTGGTTGAGGAATCGGGTGACATGCCAGGTTGCGTTTTATTTGTCATGTTATTAGTTGATTTGAGTTTCGCAAACGTGAATCAATGTTGTTTGCTTTGAGGTAATTGTGATACTACGACAAAGCGTTCATTGAAGTGTTGAGATATTCGCTTTGTTTTTTTACGCGAATAATGGCATCGCAGCCCCCCTTTTGTGATTTTCCTAAAGGAAGAATAGTTCAAAGAGGCGTGTAAATGCCTATCAAAGTTCTTGGAACATCAACAAAAATTTTAACATAATATATAAAATGAAAGAAAAGTAAAATTCATTTTTTAAGAACACAATTCCAAGCTGCAAAAGATAGCTTTCAACCAGAGTAACGAATTTCGTAAAACATTTTCTAAATTTTCATGAAATACATTGCCTGATTTTGTACAATACTTTCCTTGCTTCCATAGCCATTCCTGTTTACCGTATTCTATCATATTTTTGGTCCCATTAGAGAGTGGGGCTTATTGAGAAAAGATAAAAAATCCACCAATAAAAAATTGAGCTTTGGAATTTAAACAATGATTGTTTTTAGACAAATCAATCACACCTGTTATGGGCATAATAATTACAAGAGTTCAATTTCACCCGAGTCGAAATCCTAGTAGATTTGCATAAATACTGGTGTGGCATCTTGAATATTCAAATTGTCAATACCTTCAAATTTATTTTTGTGTAATTCTGTCTGTAGTTGCAAAAGATTTTCCAAATTGAAACAGCATAGGTTTTATTAAATATATTTAAACTTATTACTATTGTAAAGATTAGCTGGTCTCTATATGTTTTCAAAATATTTGGGGGGCGCTTAATGGAGGGTGGGTGCTGATTAGAAAAATTTTGCACAAAAGGGGCGCGTGCATTAAAGAAGGACGCTCCTTGGAAAAAATACGCTACTTAACATCGCTACCGAAAATGGGCGTGGTCAATTTGTTGGGTGTGTCTCCTTAAACTGAGCACCGGTCAAAAAATTTCCTGGATCCGCCCCTGAGGCGTTATCTTATTAAGAATTATCCAGAAATTTAGTTTCAAATTTTTGAGGAATGCAGTTCTGATTGAAATATTCTGAAACAAATTTATAGCATAATTGCTAGAAAATGCTAGGTTTTTGACAGTAGCATCAAACACACAGTATATGTGGATTTGTTTCTCATCAATTAAACTTTTTATTTTATTAATTTCAAAGAGAGGGCTTTCATACCAAAGAAAGAAATTCGTACCCTGATACCAAAATATTGCACAGCAAAGTTGCTTAACGAGGAGATACGTGGCATGTTTAACGTTCTTCAAAGGGAGGAGCCAGCTTTACATTCGTTCGTCTCTTGGTGTGAGGATGGTTTTGACTCTTTACACAGCATAACATCAGCTGTTCAGTCATTGCTCCAGTGTATTTCTTCAACCTCTCTTGTTTGCTCTTATTGTCAACCTATAGACGAAATATTCGCAGCTTCTGATGCAATAAATCGAACGGGTCAAGTAGGAGAAAATGCATCAGCTTTGCTGGTGTTTCAACAGAATGCTCTAGTTACTTTCAAAATCCTCTCTGTTGTCAGATCGTCGAAGACCCCATCCCAGTCAAAAGAGCTCCTGGGGGAAGTAAAAAAAGAGGTCTACAGTCTTTTGAAAGAGCAAAGCACAAACTTTATCCTGATCAAGAAAATTAATCTCAAGAGACACCAAACGCTTCTTTTGAAATATTTCAAACACGCTTGAGCAAGATTTATTTTTCTTGCATTTTCCCAGGAGTTTTTTATTTGCTATTATTGCGGGCCGGTTTGATAAAAATTTGCACGGGCCAAAAAATTAGCCAGTCCGCCCCTGAAAGTAGACACGTAGGAGCTAAGAAGTGAAACGCATCATATAAACCAATACAGAGGTGGAGGGTCAAAAGTTATAACTTCCTGATGGCAAAAAAGTCGGCCTAAAATCAACTGCAGTGCATGTAAAGAGAAGACCCTTGCGTATTTAAATGACGGAAGTTACAATATTATGACGACAACATTTTACTAATAGAAATGATAGAAATGAAAAAGAACTTCATCTTACCGTTATCCACACCTAATGAATTGAAAAACTGTAGCCCTTAGTAATGTTGATGGAATTTTTACGAACAAAGCGGAGTTTGAAATCCTAATCATTAATCCACAAAAAAGACTGAATCGAGAAACCTCTATTAGGCGCCATTACAAAGGCCACCCAAATGTCAAAGGTCAAGCACATCTCGCGGAAAATGTTATGGACAGCTATGGCTAATGATGGAACACAGCGTTGCGCTTTTGGTTTTAATAAGAAAAGAAAGCTGAAAATAGACGCCGAATTATTCAGAAGTGATGGCGATGGAAGTTCAGATGAAAAATCCAAAATAAAATTCAAATTGCCAAGAACTTTTCACTCGTAAGTTATCATTTCAGTTTGTGTATTTTAGGCCCGTTTCATTTGGCAAAGGTCGAGCGGAATTTGTCTCCTTGTTTCATTATATTCCACAATCTA